AATATGTTGGGCTGCGCTCGTTTCTTGAGGGACTCCATCGTCTTTGCCTTCGGTGGCGACTGCAGATTTTCTGCGCGACTTAGTACGTGTTCTGCTGCTGGTGGCCCAAGCCATATTTGCAGGCTTTATTGCGTTGGGTTTGTCAATCGAATAACAGCCCTCATCGTCCTCGTCAACAACCTCCTTTATCAGATTGCAGAGTTTCACTTTTAGTGTCGCATTAACTGCAAGTTGCAGTCTGCAACGTCCAGTGGCTGCAATAGGTGGGTGGCGTTGGGCGGAAGCATGTCGTCTCAAGTATCTTGGTTTGCGCCGCGACCTCGGGAACCGCCGCACCGCTGAGTAGTTTTGCCACAATGGCAGTCTTGGTGTCAGTAGAGTAAGTGTGGCGAGTCTTAGACATGGCTTGGGTCGGACAAATAAGAAGTGAAGCGTTTGTTTTCTTCTTGCAAATGTTTGAACGGAGTGGATGGCGCTCAACAACCTCATTTAGTTGGAGGAGCTGAATAAAAATATGGCGTCAAGAGTTCACCCCTTTTGCATATTAAAAATTTAAAGGTATTCGTACTTAGCTTATTATAACCAATAGTTTCCAAGTTCAATGGAGTACTGTATATGATTGGCAGTAACTTATGCGTCCCTAAACTGGTTCGCGGCCCTAAATTGATGATTTCCCTTACCAATAAATATACTCCGCTTACAACCTACCTTAAATTGGTCACCTCGCTCCCTTTTGGTAAAAGGGACCTGTGAGCTGCCGTTCACCGAGAGTATGTAAACTCTCGGAAGCCAACTTCCACTAGCGCAAGGTGCTGTGTGACCCCGTCACATGAAAGCTTTATACAGAAAATGGCTCGAAGAAAACGCACGCTTATGTTTATCGAGCTTGCTCTAAGCAAATGAAATATAAGATAAATGTGAGAATACACAAAAGGGACAGGCTTAGAGCTTCCGGGAACAGTCATCATTGATGAGTGCTGGGATAAGTGGCGGGAGGTCGAGCTCATTCAAAGATTCTCCCGAAATCCTGCAAGTCGAGTGATGCCACGAATTCGATCCAGCTCGCGAACGAAGCAAGTGGCAGAGGCCCGCTCCGTACACTTCGGCCATCTCTAGCAACAGCTCAAGGCGGTCGGATAAGAGTCGAAGAAGCTGCTGACGAGACTCTGAAACGACTGGAGGTACTTTGTGCCACGTGCTGACGAGAGCGAGCTCGATGAAGGCACGAACTGGTTCACAGGTAACATGGTGACGTGTATTTGGATGGAATGGTATTCTGACTGTAATTTTGAAGGGGAGGATGCCGTCGTTTGCTTTGCGATCGAGTCTAAGCTGATTAACCTGTGCGAGAGTAGCAAGAATGGCAGCGACGGAGGCATTTGCTGGTGCCGCTAGCGCGCAGCCAGCTGGAGAGTCACTGCAAGGTGAAGATGTCGCTCGCAAGCAACCAGTTCGAAACTCACGGCAAGGTGGCGAGGCCGGTGAAAGGCGTGGTGAACAG